ATGGTATAGACTTGACAAAATGTGGACTTGTGACAAAATGTATGGTATAGGCTTGACAAAATGTGGACTTGTGACAAAATGTATGGTATAGACTTGACAAAATGTGGACTTGTGACAAAATGTATGGTATAGACCTGACAAAATGTGGACTTGTGACAAATAGTGACAAAATTTTGGGTGTACCGTGGCATTAAGATACAGTAACATTAGGATACAATAACAGTAAGATCCTACAGTAATACCACCCTACACTACCACCATATTACAGTAACAGCAAGTAATAATACTGTAATACAGTAGTACAAGTAATAATGCTATAATAGAGTAATACAAGTAGTAATGCAGTAAGTAATGCAGTAAGTTACCGTGCGATTGCGTGATCATCGTCAACAGTGTGACAATAGCCAAAGGCACTCGTGCCGCGGTGCTTTTCCAGTCGATCCAATAGGATACCCATGAGACAGCGACCAGCATCGACGATGGAATGTAGAGTTGTAGCAGAAAGAACGAGAACACTCGACTCAGTTTCAGCTTAACTCGCATACAGCTATAAGTTCCTGTAACAGTCACAAACGATTACCTGTTGGGCTTGGAATTGGACGATTTACCCCAAATTGGACGATTTACCCCAAAAAATGGACGATTTACCCGTGAATTTAGGCTCTGGACTTTGGACACGTCTTAAATCTCAAGTCTAAAGTCAAATTTGTGAACTCAAGTCTCTTGGAGTGGAATTTTTTTTGAAATGGAATGTGGAAGTATAGAAAATTGGGGAAATTTTTGGGAGGCAGCATCAGAATATGGGGAAAAGTTAGATAGGAAGCTGGTTTCGGGTAGGTGAGGCTCAGGATTTATTTTTGGGGTAGGGAGGGTAAGGTTAGAGGGCTTAAAGGGATAAAAATGGGATAAATTGGGATAAAAATGGGATGAGGATGGGATAAATAGGATTAAGATGGGATAAAATGGGATTAAGATGGGATCATAAGATTTGTATCGAAATAAAAAAGATTATCCAACTCTGACCTGTATTCGTAACACTATCGCAAGTGGAATTTTTATAGGAGCTTATCTCAAAATTAGGTAGGGCTCCGTTGGCACCTTCTTCGATAGTGATTCCGATAAGGTGCCATTTGTAGATAATATCACTGGTCGTGTAAGCATCTGAAAGCTTTTTGAATTATTAATTGAACTGAATTTTGAAAAATCTTGAGTTTGAAAAAAAAATTTGACCTAATTTAGCGAATGGTACCAGGCTGTAACCAGGTCAAGAAGCTAGTAAATAAATTAAATGAAACTAACAACTCGCGAAATCGATAAGGCATTCTTGGACGTCCATTGGGTATCGAACTAGGTTCATATTACAGGCGAGAATTAAGGTTAACCTGAAATTGATTTAGGTTAACCTGAGATTCAAAAAATTTGCCATTTAGCAGGCTTTCTGGAACTTGAAGTCGGTTTTTTTTAGGATGGAAGGTAGACTGAGCTTGAGATTTTTTTGAGCAAAGTTAGGAAATGTTTCACCAACCGTCTACTGTAGATCACTTTGCCGTCGGATCTGATCTTCATAAATTTATTCTCCTGAAAGCCATATTCCAATGATATTCGAATTTTCTCTTCCCAAAAGATTCCCGAGCCACTGGGTAAGTTAGGAAACACAGATATAAGGAGATATCTCAGCCTGAATCTTAGCCGAGTTGAATATGAGGGATAGCTATTTCAGTCCAGGTTAGGTGGCTAGAGGTGCGGGTAAGTGCACGGGCAAGTAAGAAATTGCTCGAAAGTGTTTATATTTTCTCTTCCCGAGAGATAGCCAAGCGACTGGGCAGATTAGGTGGTGAGAATGTGGAGGAGACGTGGTCAAGCATATGGTACCATCCGTTGCGTTCGTTTTGGAAGAATGTATCTGGCGTCCACAGCGACTGATCTCGTGCCACATGGATATAGTCCATTTTACGGAATTCGCCTTGTTCCGAGAATCTCAACCGGTCATCAAACCACTCTTGCCGGAGCCGGAATTGGGCAACGAATTCCTGAGAGTTGGGAAATTTTTTAGATTTGATCCAAATTTGATCCAAAATTGATCAAAATCTGATCCATTGATTTGAAGAGAGGAGAAGCAGGCTTAGGCTGTTTACTGCTTACTGTTTAGTGCTACACTTACCATATTGCGTTCGCTTACTGCACTGATGGACGCTATAATGAGGCTTGTCGTCACAATTACTGGGCCTTCTGAAAATAAGTATACGTGAGAAGGGAGTAGAATAAGGGGGAGGGGGAGTTTTTTTGAGGTTTTCAAACGGAATTATTTGGTAGATTTTTGGGAATCGTATGATTTTTCGAGGTTTTTGCTTTGAGCTGAACAGCCACAAGGATACGGGAACTGACTCTGATCTTGTAGTGGGGATCGTCCTGAGGGCCTCACAGCCGGATCGTAGTTTTCGAGTAGGTCACACACAGTCATCTGCTCACGCCAGGCACGATAGTTGGTTGTGTGTCGATTGAAAGCGGTCCTTTTGCTGAAGGAAATTTTCATTTATTTGATTGAAAATCTGGTCTTGAGTGGGATTTTTTGGTTTGGAAGGTATTTGACTTGTAACGGCTCCTTAGGTGGTTCGAAATTATTAGGATTCAAGTTCCCAGGTCAGGTTTGAACCGCCTTGTACTAGAAGAGTACTGAATGTTTAAGAGCTTCCCTGACTATCTCTCTCGTTTTTGAAGATATCAGTTGAATGGTGAGCCTGTTCCCTAGGGGGTTTGAGGCTTGAGAGCAGTCCCGGAACCCGGTATTTTGACCGGAAATCTCGGCACTAACCATGGTTTTGGCTTGGGTTTCTTTCGGGCATCGGCCAGCTGGACAGCCATCGCTAAGAGGGTTAAAATTGTGAGCAGCCGAATAGCTGGGGTGAAAATTTGTGTGGATTTTCGAGGTCTTATAGTCGAGGCTGTCGCCCTTCTCCTAGTACTGGCTGGAACTGGTTTGGAGCCTGAGCTCGTGGTCTCGATCTTGGGGTTGTTCGAGTCTGGAGGAGCCAAGCCCGCGGTTGGTCTTCTTTTTAGGACGGGCGGGTGTGAAGCTGGAGCTGGAGTTGGGGTCTTTGAGTGGCAGAATTTGGGCAGATATCGTGGAAGAGTGCAGCCTGGATTCAGATTCATAATAGTAATGGGGATGAGAGCGATGTGACGAGTTGACGTTTTGAGATGGTTGAAGATTCGAAGTGATATTGAGCTTTAGGCAGTTGCATTTTGCTTTGATACGGAAATCAGCGTGGATATCGTTTGAAGCGGATTGAAATCTGAGGATTTGATATATCTGAAAGCTCAAAAAAAATTTTGAAATTGTATAGAATTCAAGCGAAAAGCGAAATTAATTAGTAACTTTCGTAAATGAAAGCGCTAGTTTCTAAAGCTACTAAAGGTAATTAGAGCTTGCTGAAATTTGAACTGAAAGGG